AAAAGCCCTGCAGACATAATATAAATTTTAGTAAAATTTTGACAATCTACTTCATTTCGTTTTGAAGCTCCATACAATGGTGGAGGGTATAAAAAGGAAATGGCAAAATGGAGGTTTGCCACCTCGATTTCGACATATCGAAATCAAATTTGAAACACTTACTATAGAATTTGGGATTAGAAACAAAACATTTTCTCGCCGGTGTCTATCATGGTATGAAGGTAATCAAATGTAGGGTGATATAGGAAAGTTAAGAAATACATAAAATTTAAAACATTGAATGAAATCTTTATTTTTAGATAATAGTACGGTCCATATAGATTATTTTAAGTGGTCCATCCGCTTAGTCCAAATTTGGCACACTCTTTCAAACATTTCAGTCGGTATCTCACGAGTGAAGAGATTGTCTGTATAGGCATGAGCTTTACCATCAAATAACCTAAAAGAGTTAAATCGCAAGATCTAGGGGACCAATTGGCAATTTCCGAACGTGAAATAAAATATTCGACAAATTCGCCTCTCAGTAAGCACCGTCTTGTTGAAAGCTCATGTCGTGTAAGTCAAGCTATTGCATTTTGGGCCAAAAAAAGCTGGATATCATCTCATTGGTAGCTTTTGCAATACTTCTGGCTGATCTTCACTCCAAAATCGACAATTCTGCCCACTTACGTACATATTGAGCCAAATAATGAACTTCATCACTGAACATTAGTTTTCGATAAGATGGGTGCCACCAAACCAAGAGCCCATTTTGACAATAAAATTCAAGCATTGTTCGTTTGTAAGACGATTCATGGTTATATTATAGGCTAAACTGAAGATGTTTGAGAGTGAAACAAAACAAGAAACGTGCTCGATGTTTTAAACCAGTGTTGCCAATAGATAACAGCTTAAAAATCACCCTTTACAAATCACAACATAGTGAGTTCAACACCAGCATCGGACAAAATGAAGAAGTGTATTATAGATATGGTTATCTTACGTTCACAGTTCTAAACAAGTGAAAACCCCCCAAAGATCGTCCGGATCGAGCTTTTGATACCCTTCACCATTTGGGAGGAACTTGAAAATTTAAAAAAAAAAAATCCTGCAAAAAATAACGCTGAAATTAAAACCGTTCTATGGGGGCTAAACGAAGACATGGACCTGCATACACAATTTTTTGTCATAGGCTGTAGTAACGATTCCAAACTTCAAACGATATTCGACGCATATTCCGGTGAATAATGTCGCTAATATCATAAAAATACCGAATAAAGGGAGGTACCGTTGTATGGGGCCTATATAAAGACGTGGACATGCATAGACAAATTTCCGTCATAGGTTGTAGTACCCATTACGAACTTCAAATACGAAATTTTACGAGATTCCGTTGAATAATGTCGTCAAAATACTGCAAATACCAAATATTTCGGGGTAACGTTACATGAGTGCTATACTAAAACATTGAACTATATAAGCAATTCTCTTCCAGGGGGGTAAAGTACTCACAGGGAACTCCTTGTGTAGAATTTCAGACAATGACATTGAAAAATGTGATTAAATTCACCAAAATAACGAATATCGGGAGGGACAGTTATAAGATATCGTGGACCTATATAGACAATTCTCTTTCAGGGAGTAACATACTCAGAGAGAACTCCTTTCAGACCTATATAGACAATTCCCTTTCAGGCAGTAAAGTACTTACAGAGAACTTCTTGTGTATAATTTCAGGTATTCCATTGAAAAATAAATAAAAAATAAAATCCTCAAAATACCTAATATCAGGGGTACCGTTATTTGGGAGATATAACGGTATCGTGGACTGATATAGCCCATATTCGAACTTGACTAGCGCGATTACAACTGACGGACAGGGCTAAATTTTACACTGATAAAGACATATATATTTCTGTTGGGTCTAAAATTGTTATTTCGATAAGTTAAAACGGAATTACGAACTTAATATACACTCCATACTATGCATCGCAATGTAACCTAAGCAGAAGGGGCTTTGTTTCGAAATTTTCAGATTAAGATTCCTTGGAATCTCTGTATTTTAGGTACAGACACTATGTAATATTGCATATAAAAATACGAGGAACATATTTGTAGGTATTTTTGGCCCTTTTTTAAATATAGTTAAAAATTCCCTTAAAATGGGATTTTAGCAAGTCAAATTATTCTGAATTTGGTTTTCCCCGATAAGAAACAAACAAAATAATCGTGTTTACTTGCCAAAGAAGTCAACTGAAAATGTGCGCCAGAACTCAAGCGACGGCCATGGTGATGGTGTAGGCCGCAATAACAGCCGTATTAATCGACTACGCTCGTATTAATCGACCGTGGCATCAGAATAAATGCCGAATATTATCGCGAAAATATTCTGGAGGGTGTATTAAAGGCTTGAGCACGCAAACATTTTGGACATTCCAACAGGACTCAGCACCATAGCACTCAGCTCGCGCCACCCAAGAATGGTTACAAAATGAGGATACCAATCCGTTGGGCTACTGTGTCTGGAGTATTTTGGAAAGCAAGGTTGGCACTAACAAGTAAAAAGATATCAGGTATCAGCCAATGTTCGATTATTGAAAAATATTTTGACTTTTGTTATGATTATTCAAACTCTTGACCCTCTATAGAGAGGGTTTTGAAAGAATAGGCCAATATTGTCTATTTCGTATCGGACCTAAGTAAATATGATATAGATATTGCGACGGCCAGGTTTAGACTATATTGGTAACTTCCTTTACTTTACATGAGATAGGTACCAGGTATAATTGACCGAAGTATTCCATTTTAATGCTTCATCAAGAACAGATAAAAATATTGGTATGGTCAAAATTATAAGAAAATCGAACATTTATATCCAATTTATGGGAAATCACAAATTCCACAGATCTTATGTTGATGGAAATGTTGAGATGTTTCAAGTTTGGAATGAATCGGATGTTGATTTCGCATTTTATGAGCTTCATGGATATTCAAAAATTTTAACCTTTGTGAAGGAGGTACCAGAAGGAGAGGACCGATATATCCTATCTTCACAAAAGATCTTGTATTAGCAAAAATGTTTGTATATGTGAAATATAAAGAGAACAGATTATATAAACGTTTTGGTTATTAAAAACTTTTACCAATTGACCTGACCTAGCACTGACGCAAATATTAGGATTTGCAAAGTTGGAGAAAAATCGGATTATCGTTTCTCTTTCTGTGCAGAATATGCATTTTTTGAAAATTTCGACCCTTGGGGGAGGTACCAGAAGGAGTAGAGCGATATATTCCATCTTAACGCCAGACCTTGGGTTCATAAAAATATTGGGATGTGCGAAATCGGACTCTTAGATCACACTTTATAAGACTTGTATTTTTTCAAAATTTTGACCCTTTGTGGTTTGACGTTGTAAGTTTGACATAAATATTATTCCAGAGTTATCGTTCGTTCGTTCATCGCTAGATCGACTCCAAATGTTTTGAAACGGATTTGGTCCAAAGAGACCTAGGGTCTAAAACCGTTATTTCGACTAGGCACGTTGTGATCGTATCAAATGGTATATTTCGCTGTAGCCATGTGGCTGAGGGTATAAAAAATACCAAAGTGTTGATCACGTCAAGCAAGAGCTTCGCCGGGAATGGGCCAAAATACCGCAGACCAACATTCGGCAGCCCGTAACGGTTTCATTAGCCGTTTGAAGGCCATAAATCGTGCCAGAGGTGGCCAATTCGAACAAATTTAAACTTATTCTAAAATTTGATGCTATTTCCGACATATTTTTCTTTCACACAATAAAATTAAAAAAAATTTAAAAATTTTGGCCTTTGACTGTTTTGCAATATTGTAGATGATCGACACTTTGGCATTTTTTAGTGCCAACCTTGCTTTCCAAAATACACCAGACGAGTGCGTGCACTCGAGCGTGCTGAGTGCGATGGTGCTGAGTCCTGTTGGAATGTCCAAGGTCTGCGACCAAAATGTTTGCGTGTCCAAGGCTTTAATACACCTTCCAGAATATTTTCGCGATAATATTCGACATTTATTCTGATCAAGTCGCTTCTTTACTTTTCGAACCATTTCTGATGGTGTTGCTGTTTTCTTCCGCCCATTTCCTTGACGTCGGGCTACGCTACCAGTGTCACGGCAACGAGCGATGGTTCGAGACTCAAACAATTTATTCACATTTAAATGCTGGAGTGCTCTAACGATAGCCACTTGTGGATTTACAGCCAAATAAAGAAATCACGCTTGAATTCCATTACGAGCTGTCACTGGAATAATTTTTTCATCTCACCCTGTATACCTAAAATGCACTCATCCCGAGGAATCTTAATCCGAAAATTCCAAAAGGGTGGAAGAGGAGAGAACTTGTCTCCTCCATTTATGTTACTTTGCGATGTAAATTTTCCAAACGCCAAGTGGGTGATTGAACAGCTGTGAGCTATTGAACAGAATTTTTATTTAATTCAGGATTCTGTTTATATTTACTTCATTGAAAATGTTTTATTAAGATTTCGACTTCTGAGATGTGAGCAAACTATGCATGCATTACTGGCAGATTTAATTATAGATTGCTTTTGTTTATACTTTATTGCATTCAAGTTAATGACAAACAATTACCCAATAACCTTGAGCGGTGGGACATGTGAAACAAAAGTTAAAGCAATTTGGTTGTCTATATGCATTCTTATTTATTTTTCGAAAGGGGTTTCATTGAATTTTCTTTTATTGTAAGGTTCAATGCTCACGGTGAGCTGTAAGCTGTCCCTTGCACAATCTTGAAATTATTTTCTTTGCTTTTCCCCCACACATGACGTCACATGCATAGTTGCGGACAACTTGAGTTTTTCCTATATTGTTTTTCCTTTTTGATTTTTTTTTTCGCAAACATGAAAACAAAACAAAGAAAAACATCGATGTAAACAAACTGCTGATAATTGCATTTCTAAAAAGAAATTATTTTCTATATTTGTTGTTCAGTTTCTTCAGCTCGGAATCAGAATCAGTTCGAATTGAATTCTTTTGCGATATTGACATCGTACGACCAGCTATTCGAAACAAAAATTTCCGTCCGCAAGTCTAGACAGCTGAAAAACAAAACAAGAAATAATTAAACAAATTTTTATTTGAAAATAAAAATGATTTCCAAAGTTCGTCAACCTTTCCTGTTTTCGATACAAATTTCTCGATACTTCAGTCGGTAAGAGAGAGCGACAAGTGAATCTAATCTAATTACAGTCGAAATATCAGTGTTTTGAAAACTCGATTCACACTTAAATATATAGATGTGTAAATATGTATGTCATATTAAAATAAATATTTTGATTTATAAGACTGGGCTAACCGTGTGACAATCGAAATAAAGTCCAAATCGCAGTTTGAACTTTGGAATTGTCCGAAGTGATAATGTGGATGATTTATAAATATATACCAGATGTACAAACATACAAATAATATTTCAATTTTTTTTTATTATTGGTAACAAATTATGTAACACTAAAGATAATCAATAATTAGGTAAATAGGGCTTCCGCCTTCACAAACAAATCTCAAATAAAAAACCTGGCAGTTATTCTAAAGATATTATCGTCAAATTATCAAGTGCAGAACTATTAATAAATTCTCCAACATATCCAGCAAAACAGTTCGGATGTATGATATAACAATGGAATTATTAACCTCAGTAACTACAAGATGTTCTACGCTTCGTCTATGTTGTTAATTAATATGTTACAAAGGATATACTGTTGAGGAGGCTCTGAAAAAATAATTGTCAAAGTGGAAAAGTACAAAATGGACTTTAATTTAACGATGTCTGTAATGCGGTTCTCTAAGTAGTTAACGACATAATTAATGCAATAATTTGGTGTTTTAACGATTTAATAAACATTGTCCAACGGAATTGTTTAAAATTCTTTCTACGACAGAAAATAGTCTGTACATGTTTACATTTTCGTACAGCCTCCATACAAGGGAATTTTACATTTTAAGCTACATTTTCAAAATAATTGTTTGAAATTTGTTTTTTTGGGCTATGTAATGGTAACCATCTCCTCTGGTTGCAAATTATTTTGGCATAGCCAAAATAATAATTGAAAAATAACCCAGAGAACCCAAAGCGAATGTTGATTGGGTCCGAAATCTATCAACATTGTAAGCGAAGGTTGGATGGGTTCGATTCCACCAACATTGTAAGTGAAGTTTGGGTGGTCTTTTATATCAATCGCTGTATTAACATTAGATTGTGGAATTTAAATTTCAGCTGTTTTTGTTATTAAAATATTCTTATTATAGAACAGTGTTTTCAACAACGAAATATTCTTATTATAATTAAACAAGAACGGCCGGGCCGAACTTTGAATATCCTCCTCCATTTGGAACAAATTTCGTAATTCTCAAAAAAAAAAATTCTGTTAAAATCTTAAAAATACTGAATGTAGACGTATATTATGGACTATACGAGGACGTGGGCCTGCATAGGCTACTTTTGTCATTAGCTATTACAATATTCAAAAGCAAAACTTGAAAAAAAAAATCTTTTTATAATGCAGCTAAAATCATCAAAATACCGAATATGGGGAGGTACCATGGGAGTTATAAAACGTGGATATGCACAGACAATTTTCTGTCATTGAAAAAAAAATTCTAATAAATAATGTCGCTAAGATCATCAAACTTCCGAATATTGGGATGTACCGTTATATGGGGGCTATACGAAGACGTGGACCTGCACAGAAAATTTTCTGTCATAGGATGTAGTATTCATTACGAACTTCAAATACCAACTTTGAAACAATTCCGGTAAATAATGTCGCTAAAATCATCAAAAATTATCAACATTTTCTGTCATAGGCTGAAATTATGTTTAAATTTCTTAAACGCCTTTTTTGTACCATCATAATTGTAGGATAATATTATAGACATGTCAATAATCTTGCAGAAGTTTTTAATAAGGCCATCTGGTGAAATTATAATTATACCCTACATACCCTGATTATGCGTTTATGTTTGTAACAGGCAAAGGGAAACGAGATAGACCCATAGTTCCTTTTGATGATTTGCATAGAATCACATTCTGAGTCGATTTATGCGGCCCCGCCCGACTTTAAGACTTAAATAATTAATGGATTATAACGGAGTGTTTTTAATATTCTTACATATTTTTCTACTAGTTTTGAAAATGTTTTCGATATCATAAAGGGAAAATCAACTATCGTAGTAAAACTCTTAAAATCTTGCAGTTCTGGAACAAAAATGTTTCAGGTGTTAGCTAGAACTTATTTTTATGAATTTTTTAAAAATACAGTCCTTTCTGTCTTCTGTATGTCAAAATACAAACCTTTTAAAATGTAAATGAAAAATTGCGACCAGAATATGTATCTCTTAAGAAATATACCCTGTAATACATTCTGAAGGGCATCGTGCCGAAAAAGAATAATTTCTTCCGATAGATTAGCAAGAAAAACTTGTAAGGAAAGGCCTAACCCGTTACCCTACACCAATCGATAAAATTTGACAAAGGTATTTCTGAGCTGTATTTGATATATTTCCCCGAATATCGTTGTTACGGAGTGCATATTTCGGCTGTGGAGGACAAAAAACAAAGGGGATAAACAATATATATAAGAGCTATTGCTATACCTGAACCGATTTTAAATTTGGCATACTTGCTTCTAGGCTCAATTTGGTCGTATGTGTCAAATTCCATCCGAATTTGACTATTATTACACATTAGGTGCACAATAAAAGACAAATCGGACGAAGATATATATGGGAACTATATCTAAATTATTAACGATTATCTCCAATTTCAATAAGGCTCGTTCATGGGCCAAACAAATAATTTGTGCAAGATTTCGTCTCGATGGGATAATAAATGCGACCTGTACTTTGTTTACAAAAGATATCGACAGACGGACTGACATGCATAAATCGACTCAGAATGTGATTCTATGCAGATCATCAAAAGGAACTAAGGGTCTAACTCGCTTTCTTTTTTATGTTACAAACAAATGCACAAAAACATAATACCCTGAAAACAGTGTGAAGTAGGGTATAAAAAGTACCCTCCACCATTTGGAAGGACCTTGCAAAATTAAAAAAAAAAATCCATTGATTTTTTAAAATTCCAATTATCTGCCGGAGAAAGTGATGCCTATTACGCACTTCAAACAAAAATTAAGATAATTCTGTTAAAAATTTTAGCTAAAATTCTGTTAAAAATTTTAGCTAAAAATTTAGCTAAAATGTTACACAAATCAATAAATACCGAATGTCTGGAGGTATTCCTTATGGGGTCTACTCTAAATCGTGGACCTCTGGAACCATTTATCTGCCAGAGAAGATGGTGATTATTTACTAAAAATTTGACGTACTTGCTTCTAAACTGAATAAGTTTAGATTTGTTCGAATTTGTCGCATTTGGCACGAATTATAGCCTTCAAATGGCCAATGAAACCGTCAGATGCTGCCCGAATGTTGATCTGCGGTATTTTGGCCCATTCCAGGCAAAGCGCTTGCTTGGGGTGATCGACACTGTGGTATTTTTTAGTGCCAAACTTGCTTTTCAAAATACTCCAGAGACAATAGTCCAACGGATTGTAAACATTCTTGGGTGGCGCGTGCTAAGCCCTGTTGGTATGTCCAAAGTCTGCGGCCAAAATTTTGCGTGTCCAAGGCGTTAATACACCTTCCAGAATATTTTCGTGGATAATATCGGGCATTTATTGTGATTCCACGGTCGATTAATATAAGCGGAGAGCGACCATCGGCTGTTATAGCGTCCAACACCATCACCATGGCCGGCGCTTGAGTTCTGGTGGCCAACCGAAGGTCCACATTTGCACTTCTTGGGCAAGTCTTTTTGTTTGTTTACAAACTGCTGCACAATGAATGTTTTCTCATCGGAGAAAACCAAATTCGGCAGTTCAGTTTTAAAAGGAAAAGAAGAGAACATCTGGCCTTTCCGTGTTACCTTTATCTTGTGCAGAAACCAGGAATTAGATAAAGCAGTTGGTATTGTGTCTATAATGACTGGTATCGACCCCATACAACTGGACCTCTCTATTTCACTATTTCCCAGCTTTCAACCAGCTGCAATTTCTGGGTTTTATTAGGTAGAATTTCCTGTAGCAAAATATGTAGATCCTGCATTCTCTGCAGGAGAATAGTGGCAGGCTCGACCATGCTATTTATACATATTATTTCTCCATTCCTTTTCATTTTATATATTTTTCTTTTAAAAGTTTTAAAATTATTAAATGGATTAGAATTTCTTACGTTCTAGAATGCAGATTTCATTTTCGAAGATAAAGACGTTAGCATTTATTCATAAAGTTATTTCGGTATCGTTTAATTTCTGCCAATAAAAAAACAAAAGAATTACAACAATGTGGTATCAAAAACTCAAAACTGACACGATTCTTCAGTTCTTCAGAAAGCCACATATTTACACACAAATTGGTTACCAAATCGCCTATTCTCCACATCCAAAGTAGTGTAGAGCATCTTTCTATCCGATTCAATTATAAGAATTTCACTGTAGACACTCCAAAAGTTGTTGTCCAGTGTAATTTCCCACGCACAAATTAAGTGTTCTGTTTATATTCTTCAAATTTTAATTTAATTGGATCGGAATAAACCATAGCTAAAGTATTTAGTTGATAAGCGTCAAATGAGATTAATTTATTCAAATGCGGGCACAAAATCAGGTGACAAAATTAATAGTTGTGATGGTCATTGTTTTCCACTCGAACTTATCAGCATAAACATGAATGATTGTACATACATACATATGTGTGTATGTATGTATGTTAGGAATGAATCAATAGAGGCAGGTTTGTTTTCGCGCAGATACGAGTTTGGGGATTACTTTTTTGTTGTAAAGAAAAAAACAAACAAACAAAATTTGCTGCTAGTCGTAGGAGAATTGTTTACTAACATTTGGGGAACGCGTGTTCCTGCAGTTATCAGCAGTTTTGTGAAATGTTTCTGCTTTCATTGGCCCATAAATAACTTCCGATCCGAAATATTACGATCTGCTCACTTTTTTGCCAAAAATTTATTTAGTTGGAAACATATTTTGTGGTTTGTTCATAACAAAGTTAATTGATATAAATAATCACCAATTGTGTGATAAGAACGCACCGATGATAATGATATTTATTTTTGGTACTAAAATACTTAACAGTTTGAATACCAGATGGGATTTTCTCAGAACAGAAAGAAACAGCAATTGATCTTAAAAAATATATATAAAAAGCATTCCATGCTAGTTTTAATTTATATTAACCAAAATTGACTAAATAAGAAAAACTGAAATCCTTAAGAGAAAATTGAATATAGTCTTGCTTCTCAATATTTGTGGCATAGATAGACAATCTTCAGAATAACTAAAATCAGTTACGGGCATGACATGCCTTCTGACATTATATGTGTGCATGTGCATAAGTTTTGCCTTCTAATTAGAAAAGAGAGATAGGCGGACATCGTTAAATTAACGCTAATCAAGAATACCCAGCAACATTTTGGAAGGTGTATGAGCCGAATAATCAAATAAAATAAATTTGAAGGTAATATGGTTTTCCTTAAAAAATTACAAAGCAAAAGAACATAAGATGAGAACTGCACCATAGTATGGAGGGTATATTACGTTTGTCATTCCCTTTGTAACGCCTCGAAATATACATGTTAGACCCCACAAAGTATATATAGCGATGTCCGTCCAACGGTGGAAATCATTCTAGCTTCTGAACGAAATGAAGTAAGTTATTAAAATTTTGTGTTTGTTCTGCAGGACTTTTGGTATTGAAAATGGGCAAGTAAAAAGCAGTTAGTTCGGCCAGGCCGAACTTTGAATACCCTCCACCATTAGGAAATTTTTAAAAAAAATAAAGTCCATTAAAAATTCGTTTAAAATCTTAAATATACCTAATATCGATATATGGCGGATATACGATATTGTGGACATATTTAGATAATTCTTTGCCAGGGGGTAACGTGCTCATAAAGGACTCATTGTGCACAATTTCAGACAATTCGCTAAAATCATGAAGACAACCAAAACTGGGGGGTACCGTTGTGTGGGGGATATATAATATTGCGGACCTATATAGATAATTCTTTTCCATGGGATAAAGTACTCACACGGAACTCCTTGTGACAGTTCCGTTGAAAAATGTGGCTAAATCAACGAAATACCGAATATCGGGGGATTATGGGGTGCTATACGATATCGTTGACCTATACAGACAATTCTTCAGGGGGTAAAGTACTCACAGAGAACTCCTTGTGTACATATTCAGTCAATTCCATTGAAAAATGTGACTAAAATCATCAAAATACTGAATAACGCGTACAAATTCTAGAAAAGCGTCCTGGCTTACAACAAAAAAATTTTTCGTTAAGACAACGTACCAGCACCCAAGAGTGTTTTAACAATGGCTAAAATCAACGAATTAAAGTACGAGTTGCTAGACCACCCACCTTATTCTCCTAATTTAGATCCTAGTGACTTTTACATCTTCGCGTATCTAAAAGAATTCTTTGCTGGCAAGCGTTTTACCTCAAATGAAGAGGCAATTACAGTTGTAAACCACTATTTTGAAGACCTTGAGGAAAACTATTTTAATCAAGTGATAGAATTGCTAGAAAAGTGTTGGACTAAGTGTATTGAAGATTCAGGGGATTACATTGAAAAATAACAATATTTTTGAAAATCTAACTATCCTCTTTCATGATAGGCGAAGACGTTTCCGTATAGTGCAGTGATAGAATATATGCCAATTGGCATGAAAGCACATTGCTGGTATTGGTAACATTGTTTCTTTTTATAAGAGATCATTTTTTTTATAAAAATAACAACTTAAAAATAACAACAACCAGTCTCTTGAGAAATAAAATTACACCAAGGTATGCAATAAATAGTCTCCGTTAGACCAAAGAAGGTAGTAGATGCGATGTCTTTTTTGTCAGCAACTGTGCAATACTTATCCGATATGGATTATTTTGACTGCAACTTGTTTTGTATATCAATCACTGTTTTATATGATAAGCATTTGCTTTCCAAATTTGTCAGAGTTGCAGTAATATTATCGATTAAATTGGCTTGATTACATAGATAGGCCACCGTGACAAAATTTTGTGGGTTGTAGGACTACAACTTTATTTGTTTACCTGTTTTAAAATTTTGTTTTTATGCAAATATATATCTAAGGTTAAGACAAATTCACTGCACTAATACCCTTTAGACATTTAAAATTAAATTAAAAATTATAAAAATAAAAAAAGATTAGAGAGATTAGAGTCATGCCAGAGCAGTATTTGAATACTGCTTTCGGGTTTCCCTTAGAATTTGACATAAATATCCCTAGCCATAATGCGGAGCCGAATCATCCTAATTGATTAATTTAGTTTAGTATTTGAAGCCTTCAACATACTTTTAATTATTAAAAAGCTAATCGAAACAATATATTAAAGAGTGAAATGTCTATAGACATTTCAGGAGATTTGGAATCGATTTAGTGATGTCCGTTCGTCAGTCTAGCTGGTACGCACGATAACTCTCGATGGGAGTATCCGATTTGGTCCATAATTGGTACATCATAATATTTTTGTCTAACTTCGATCGACTTCGGAGATGGGCAACATCGGTCCATTCGTTCTGATATCTCCCCCACAAAAGGTCAAAATTTTCATAGAAAATAATTTACCGCATAGGAAGAGAACGAATAATCGTATTTTGTTCAAACTTTGCAAATCGTTATACTTCCATTACAGCAAGATCGGCTGCGGGAATGAACAAGATCGGATTACTTCTTCTAGTAACTCCCACACAAAGGGTCCAAATTTGGAATATCTAAAACGATAATAAAATGCGAAATAAACTGCAGATTCTCTCCAAATTCCACACAAAGGGTCCAAATTTGGAATATCTAAAACGATCATAAAATGCGAAATAAACTGCAGATTCTCTCCAAATTCCTCACATACCAATGTTTTTACCATTACAAAATCTGGTGTAAGGACGGAGTATAGCAGATCACTCCTTCTGGTATCTCCACCACAAAGGGTCAAAATTTTGAATAACCAAAAAGCCCATAAAATGCGAATGAATACCTTTTGCACAAAAGGGTAAAATTAGGAATATCTAAAACGCTCTTAAAATGCGAAATATGCATCAGATATTCTTTAAATTTCGCACATCCCAATATTTTAACCATTAAAAGATAGGATGTGGAAATGGGATATATCGGCTCACACCTTTTGGTATCTCCTCCACAAAGGTCAACATTTTGAATAAAATGGGTTATATTGGCGTACTCCTAACATTTTCAATACATATAACTATAAAATGTGAAATAAGACTAAATTTCACACATCCCAATATTTTTACCAACACAAGATCATTTATGAGGAACGGATAGAACGAACTTTTCCTTCTGATACCTTCCCCACAATGGATCAATATTTTGGAGGCTTTAAAAATAATTCGTATCGGTAAACGAAGAAAAAATTAACAAAATACGATGAGTTGTCCTTGTAAATATTAGCATTTTAACAAACCTCTATGCCATTCCAGCGTGGGTGGGTTCTAAAAATAAAAGAAATACATGTTTAGTCATTACATCGAGAACTGATAGTATTTTATTACTTTGTTATTAATTTGACGAGGTCGACTCTCGAAGTCACAACCTTCAGTTTTATAGTTGGACGCGCATGCACTAAAGCGACTTTATTCACTACTTGGTTATGAGGAAAATAATTCCTCAATCCTTATAAACAAAAACAAGTAAAGAAGCAGTATACCCTCCACCATTTGGAACGAATTTAGAAAATTTCAAAAAAAAAAACTTCTTTTAAAATCTTAAAAATACCGAATACAGCCGTTATATTGGGATATATACGGAGACGTGGACCTGCATAGGCAATTTTATCATAAGCCATTACAATATTCAAATAAGAAACTTGCTAAAATCATCAAAATACCGAATATTGGGAGGTACCGTTATATGGAGGCTGTTTGAAGACCTGGGCCTGCATACGAAAAATTTTTGTCATAGGCTGTAGTACCCATTACGAATTCTAAATATGAAATTTGAAACAACTCTGGTGAGTAATGTTCTTAAAATCGCCAAAATATCGAAAAACGGGGGGGGGGGGGTGGTGAACCGTTGTATGGGGGTTATACGATAAGACCGATATAGCCCATTAGCACCGATATAGCCCCTACAGACAAAAGACTGATTTGTGCAAAATTTTATCTTCCTATCTTTATTTGTTTTGAATCTAGCGTGATTACAACAGACGGACGGACAGGCCCGAATTTTACGCTGATCAAGAATATATATACTTTGTTATGTCTACAATTATTATTTCGATGAGTTACATGCGGAATGACGAACTTAAGTACCATCCATACCATGTATGGTGGAATGTATAAAAATACCACCCCAGTACCATGTGAGGAATTTCAATTGATGAATTTCAACATTAATGTGTTAACATTTTTAAAATGTTTTTTTTTTTTTTTTTAATGAGTATATTTTTATTAGTTTTTATTTCAAAAATAAGTATATTTTTTATTATTTTTTTTATACAACATTATACTTCTAGCTCCTGATTTGTTTTATTTTAATATATGTAGAACTATTATTTAATGACAGACGCTTGGTAAAATTATAAATTTAAAGACGTACAATCATATGTTCACATCTTTCCAAAATTTTACCTTTGACGGCATTTCATTGTCAAAATGCCCCAATGCCACATAATGCTACGGGAACAGACCCTTTACTACATATGTACCTATGTTCATTTGCCTTACCATCGATGTGTTGTTTTCTTTATCTTCTATCGCTTGTTTTACCCACTATTTCATTATCGTCTCTTTGCTTCTTGTTACAGTTCACCTGTGTATCCATCGGCAGTGAATTCGTACAGCCCCTCTCACGGTGGCCAGAGAACGCCAAACAACGAACATCACTATTATAAAACAACAATACCGATAAACGAACAAAAACAACAACAACAATGCAAATGTAATAGCAATGGCACAATCCAAACAGCAACAGCTGATGGTAAAGACACGCCAGCTGCTGCTGCTGCCTCTATTGCCTCAATGCGAAATGCCTGTCATGGTCTCCATGACGTCACAACTAATGTCGTACAAAGCGGGGTTCCCTCATCAATGTCGACGTTAGCAACAGCAACCCCACCAGTTTGCAGCTGTATGGGAATGCGCAGTGGCCAAGCAAATGAGAATCATACGACGGCTACAACAAACACAGCCAACACCACCACCACGACGACGACTACCATTGAATATGAGTTGACGAACGGCATTGCAAAGCTCTCAAAAATCAGTACCAGTCGAGTAGCCGCCGAGCAACCATCAAACGCAAACGCCGCTTCAGCAAACGTACCGAAAGCCGAATCTCAATCGCGACTTAATTGTGATACGGTGCAAAGTCAGGAAGAGACCACATCCAAAGTACCTCTACTTTCCCAAGCGGATCTGGACGATTTGATGCGAAATGTCAGTGCAATAAACGCCGTCAATCGAACATTACGTCATACATTCTCTAACCAACAAGGACACCTTCTCCACCATCAGCAGCAGCAGCAACAACACCAGCTATCAGCCTTGTCCAATTTGCAACAACGTTCAAATATTCACATGGATTTTTCAAGCATGAACGGTTCCAGCAACAATAGTCCCCTAAAAAAGGTTCCCCGAGATCGCCTTGGTCTGTGGGGTGCTGGTGGCGACAATGATGTACCCGGCAACGTTTCCGGCTTACAACGTTTGCAACAGAAGAAATACAACAAGGTAAGCACGGGATGGAGGGGAAAAAGTTTTCCGCATTAAGTCGTCCTGGTTGACAGTGACACATTTAGAGGATAACGAAGGTAGATACACATAAAAAATACTATACTGGCGTCGTAAAAAGTACTTTTCGCGTAGAATCTACAGATATACATATGTAGGTATGTGCGTATGCATATCGAGTAGTAGTGGTTGTTTTTCTAAGCAAGAAACATGGAAGAGATTCCCCTTGGACGTTAGTTCTGTCTGTATACCCAAATTGTTTGGGAATTTTCCATCCTTTTTTGCTGACGTCAACTACATGGCGTAGTTTATTTGTCGTTGGGTTTTGTTTTTGTTATATGCGTTGTTTTTTGAGAATTCATGAATAGTTTCTGGTTTCATTGCAATGCTCATGGATGTTCGGTCAGATGATGGTTTTTTATTCGATATCGTTTCTGTGTGTTGTAGGGTTAGAAATAAGCTTTGTCAAAGCTTTTATTGTCCTAAAAGCTACTTGAAGTGAATCAAAAGAGATGTTTAAGAAACATACAGTGGCTCCATTGTAAATGCCACCGTCTTAGTTAAGATGTTCCTAAAACGATGAATCCTTCTTGTTTCTTCCTTTTAGGGCAATGACCGGCCCCTTAAGAAAAATGCAATGCTCTGTTACCACAAAATAGTCTTGTTCTTGTACCCTTCACAAAAATAAGCTGAATAATGTCAGATAGTCAGTTGCTTCCGCTGCAATGCTATCATTTTTAAATAAGATGTTGAAATTCCTGAATAAGCTTTCTTTATTTCCGTGGCGGTCTCAAGTCTTTAGAAAACGTCCCCGGTGTTTTGTTATCGAAATGAGGTTTTCATAGATACCTATATATAAATGTCTTTCATTTGCAAGTTGGTAATTGCTATCGCTAATTGGTGATGTTATCACCAATGCTTTATTACTTTGGCGAACAGCACACGAATTGTAGAATTGAGCTTCTTTGATTTCTGAAAATAAGTTTGCGTAGCTGATAAAAGTAAACATAACAAAACGTAATGGAAAAAAATTATAGGTGTCTTTGAAAAGTTTTACAAGCGGAAGATAGGTTATATACTGAAAGTTTGCAAAATCTTGCCGGACAAATTCCTTCTTTAAATAGTTGCAACCATGGCACAAAAACAATGTATTCCTGCAATTTAAAAAAAAAATTGTTTGCAATTATGTCTATTTGTTTATTTTTTGTTCTGCGATTTCAATCACAATAATGCATTTTGACATAAAATTTGGTAATCAGCTGGCTTGGCGGAGGGGCCCAAAGCTTGGGCCATGGGTGCAACTCTTTTTCCTCCTCAGACAATCAATCAGCTATATTGGTTACCCGATAAGTTATTTTGTGGAAGTAAGAGCACGTTTACACACAGAATCTCTACCCTGGTTAGCCGTGATAACTGATCAATCACAATATAAACCCAAGAATAAAATATGCCATACGAAGACTTCAAGTTGTTTATGTACTTCCACTTTTAATGGTTTGGTTTTGAAAGCCTGGCGATGGCTTGCAGGATTTTACAATGAAGGTGTTTGTTTACTTTTTATTGTTTCCTCACAAAAGATAATAAAAAGGACCTTTTAGCATGTTTACACACAAAATGTTTGACCGGGTTTATTTTGATACCTGGCCAATCACAAATAAATTAACTTTTGTTTTTAATAGTCTAATTTATTGTGATTGGTCAATAATGAGGGTTAATCCGTACAAAGAGTTGTATGTAAACGTACTTTTACTTTCTGAGCAAGAAGTTGCTGGTCAATTCTTGCAGGAAAAGTAATGGGAAAGACCTTATTTTGCGAAAAAGTTCGTATATGTATGTATTCAATGGACGAGATGTCAACAGATTCGTGCGACCTTTGTGCCCTTGTACCGACATGTTGGGTAGCTCAAAAAACATTCGGTTACAAAAAGCTAACGGTAATCATATTTTATCAATATTTTCCCCCAAATGATATATTTAAACTCACCTTATCTCTTGAAGGAGGGCGCGAAAACATGAAATCATTGTAAATCCCCTAAAACTCGATAACATAAACATAATAGTTTTTTTTTTTTTTTTTTTTTTTTTTATTGGTTTCACTTAATTCATAAAATGTTTTATCATTCTAACCAGCGGTCGTTTTTTGTTTGTCTTTTGGCCTATGTTATGAATGACGAGAGACACACACTTTTCTATTTGGTATAGTGGCGTGACAATGTTATGAATTGTTTAACACTCGGAAATTTTGTGAAATTCACGTTATTCAAAAAAAAAAAACAAAACATGAATGAGGGCGAGCGGTATGTGTCATCGCATCGTCAACTATCTATGTGTATAAATGTGTAAATACAGATAAATGATGGTAAAAGGAATCTTTAAACAGAGGAAATTTAATTTTCTTTAAATTATTTGAGACTGATATTTTATGGATTTTTTTGGGAATGGTTGGTTATCTTGTTCCTCCTAGGAGTTTCTTGGCTTGGTATATAAATATTCAATACCGGCCCTTGTGTAAGGCCAATCAAATAGAAACCTCATTGGCCAAAAAGGGTGCTCACTCTGGGCCCAATAGGTCCAACCCCAGAAAAGCTTGAAAGCTATATGAGTCGAATAACCCATTAAAAGGTAAAAATTACCTTCTGCATTATCCATAGGTTGAAAATAACGGGTTACTCCTTTCCTCATTATGATGTAATGACTAATGTCTGTGAGTGAGAGAATTTTCCATTTTGCAATTTTCTGCATCAAAAATAGGTGTGTCTGGTTACCCTAAAATTTGTAACAATTGTTACAAATTGTTACTGGAAGTCGTCTGTTAACCCGAAAGTTCTGCAAAAGAGAACGGTTGGAGAGAGAAATTTTGACAGTTCTTTCAGTGAGAGTTTGCAAATTCTTGCTGGACAAATTTCTTCTTGCAATCACTTGCAACTCTTCTTCTTCTCATTTATCGACATTCAATCAGATGTTTTCCATTGTTTGTTTATTTATTTTTGTGCTTTTAATTTGAAGATATTACTTTGGAATTTGAAATACTAATTGTTTTTGGAGAACAACTTTAAAAAATGTGGAAAACCTAAATATTAATATGTAATAAGGAAATACAAGACTATTTCCAACATTTTTATTTAAAAAACTTGTAAAATTAGTATTGCTTCCTTTGTTTTAATTCTCCTTATGGGGGACAAATCGGTTTGTTTTGACAAATCAGCTGATTAGTTGCAAGCTTCTGCAGGAATACCGTCTGTTTACTTTTCGCATTTTCCTTGCAAAAGAGAATAAAACTACCTTTTCTCTCAGAAAGAAGTTGCTGGACAATTCCTGCTGGAAAAGTAACCAGACACACCTAATGTTTTCAAATAGCAGGAGGAAGAAGAAGAAGAAAAAGTATGATTCCAAGTTTGGAATCCAAGAAGAAAGTTGTCCGACAAGAATTTGCAAACTTGTTATACCCTCCACAATAGTATGAAGGGTATATTAAGTTTTTCATTCCGTTTGTAACACATCGAAATATACATTTTAGAATCCATAAAGTATATATATACTTGATCAGCATAAAATTCTATGCCGATTTAGTGATGTACGTCCGTCTGTGGAAATCACCCTAGCTTCCGAACAAAATGAAGTAGGTTGATAAAAATTTACTCAAATGTATATGTCCTCGGGAAATTTTTCCAATTTGAAGTTCGTAATGGATACTACAGCCTGTGACAAAAATTGTCCGTGCTGGTCCACGCCTTCGTGTAGCCTCCATATTCGGTATTTTAATGATTTTAGCGATATTTTTAAACTGAATTGTTTTGTATTTGAAGTTCGTAATGGATGCTACAGCCAACGGCAGAAAATTGTCTGTGCAGGTCCACGCTTTGGTATAGCTCCTCCCTATATTCGGTATTTTGATGATTTTAGCTACATTATTCAACGATTTTTTTAAATTTCGCTTTTGAATATAGCAATGGCTTATGACAAAAGTTGTCTTTGCAGGTCCACGTCGTCGTATAGACCCTAATATAATGTCTACATTCGGCATTTTTAAGATTTTTAACAGATTTTTTTTTTTTGAAAATTTTCAAATTCATTCCAAATGGTGGAGCGTATTCAAATTTCGGGCGGTCGAACTTACTGTTTTTTTCATTGTTTACTCTCAAAATTTCTTTACGGAATAGCTCTCTTTTGCAGAAGTTTTGTGTTAACAAGCATGGCCTACATAAGGTGGCCAGTAAGCCAATCTGTCAACCAAGTTCGCGTCAAAATACATATTGTGATTTGAAAGTAAAAAGGAGTCAAATCACAATAGTGCAAAAACTACTAGGTTTATTGTAAAATTGTTTTCAAAAGTAGTCTTCTTGGCCGAAGCAGGGGTTGATCAGAAGTTTTAATTTTTTTTCATTTGACAAGACATCGTTAAAGGAGAACCAGATCAGCAGGGATGAGATAAATTATTTCGGTAAAAAATGTTTTATTCTGAGAAATTACATGCAGATTTACAAACTCCATAGAGAGGTTATTTCTATAAAAAGTATATATATATTTTATAAAGAAAGTAGTATTTTAACAAAACTTTCCCCAAAGTGATTAGACTAAAATTATAAAATTGGTCTAATATGGTCTTTACGTACCATGGTTTTTACGGTGTTTAATTTAAAGCATCAATTTTGCAAAAGATTACCAAATTTTAATATTTATACAGTAAAAATCCATTCAATTTACAATCGATCCATGCCCATGTCTCCTTGACATTCAAACCTCTGTGCTATGGTGTGAGTTTTTGCTATTAAACCTTTTTTGTTATGACACTCTCCTACTGGTGTACTATTGAGTACCCATATTAAAGATAAGCTATCTTAATTGAAATTAGTATTGTTAATAAAACAATGACAGACATTTGTTCACAAATATTGTACCTACTTAACAAAATAAATAAATAAATTGAATGTACCCTACCATTCATTGGTATATTGCATTCAAATATTTGGATAAATCTACAGATGTAATGGCATGGAATG